TGACATAGATACTTTATTATGGGACAGAAGCGGAACGTGGTTCTTAAAGAGACAGAGGCCAGTTTCAAGGCGTTTAAAAGAGGAAGTGATGAGAAGATAAGTTTATTTTCTATTTAAACATAAAAACATAATAGATAAAGGTGACATAGATACTTTATTATGGGACAGAAGCGGAACGTGGTTCTTAAAGAGACAGAGGCCAGTTTCAAGGTGTTTAAAAGAGGAAGTGATGAGAAGATAAGTTTATTTTCTATTTAAACATAAAAACATAATAGATAAAGGTGACATAGCTACTTTATTATGGTACAGTATTTAAATGTATACCTGAGAAACATAGTATTGCCCGTTTAACAAGCTAATGGCTAATAAGTTTATTTTCTATTTAAACATAAAAACATAATAGATAAAGGTGACATAGATACTTTATTATGGTACAGTATTTAAATGTATACCTGAGAAACATAGTATTGCCCGTTTAACAAGCTAATGGCTAATAAGTTAGTTTTCACAAACTGAGGTTGTTGCAGTTATTTCATTTCACAACTAATAAAAGTTCTTAAAGATGATAAATATGACAAAATCTTCAGTTTTGTAGTCTGTGTTTAGTTATCTTTATGGTAGTACACTGCACGGAGATATTGCCTTACAGATAACCAATACATAACTATCACTGAATCCTTTTAGTGATTTTAGTTTCTTATGATTAATCTTTTATTTAAGGGTAACATTTGTGGTGGTGATGAATTCTTCTCAACAAACGTGTTTTTATAACACTGGTAGATATTCTGACTTGACTAACCAGAGCATCTATAATCCTCCCACTTCAGTTTCATTTCCATTTTTAGTCCTCTACAAGGTTGTTCAAAGAACTATTTTTAGCAGGCAGAACAATATCTGTTCATAACCTTTATACAGCAACCCATTATAATTACACAGTCGTGACTCAATAATGTGATGAGGTGATGACCAGAGGAGTGTAGTAACTAAGTACATTTACTTTGTTATAGTACTTAAGTGTTTTAGTGAGGATTTGCAATATTTCCCATCTTTTAAATCGTAACTTTTACTTTTATTTTGTTACATTCAAAACAGAAAAATGATCCTTTTATGTATTTACTTTAAAATTTAACTCCAGTTATGCACTACAAATTTATGTATGACCAGAACTCATCATGAAAGGAGTTGTTTATGCACGCTAAAAATATAAAGTGTGGAATTTACTTAACCAAGTTATATCAACTGGTTCCACTAAACCAAGCTGAGTAAATGTAAAGTAATTTATATAATTTCTTTAGTGGAACCAGTTTGGTTAAATAAATTCAACACTTCATTTCTTAGTGAGTATGAAAGTACTTTTACTTTCCTGATTATTATGAGAAATTTTATGACTTTTACTTAAATACTGTTCTTATCATTGAAATTAACTTTTACCAAAGTGATTCTCTGTTACGGTATTTTAACATTTAATTAGTTATTTTTTTCAAGTACCTTATATGTGTGACCCAGTCATAGAATTAAACAACAGATTTATTATCAAGCTGATGAGGCACAGTAATCAGTTAACCACAAAGAGAATGGCTAAACTGAGCTAATCCATGTTTTCAAAATAAAACGAGACCTCCGTTATGCATTTATTTTGTGCTCCACGTCAACACAGCTGAGTTCTGCTCCGCGGCTCCTTCGGTTCCTTGATACTCGCTTTATTTCTGAAAATTTACGTCTGCGGGATGCATGACGTCTGTGATTTATTACAAGCCAAAAGGAACAAAAACACCACCATTTCGCGGAAAGGTTTTTGTGAAAGAGCATGGATTAATTTTATTTAAGTCTTTTGGAGAGAATTACCAGTTTTACCTCTGAACTTCTGAAGCTTAAAAAAATAATCCAGCATTTCAACAATCTACGTTTACGACACAAACCATACATAAAGAGAGAAACACTTCACTTCATTTGCTTAATAAACAAAGATGAAAATGAAAAAAATTAAATCAACACCAACTGTTTGCCTGTTGCATGCTGAAGAACCAGAATAATCCAGTGTCTGGTAATCACGTTTAGCCATTACAAAGTCACACTCGCTCTTTGCTACTGCAGTACAACAACACATGTTACTGTGTTAAAATAGAAGCAAACTGGCAGTCACTACTTCACTCATTAGCTGCCTTTCTCACTACGGAAACACTAATTTTTAGAAATTTCTTTTGTTGTAGTGAATGTGGGGGGAATAGTGTGATTTAGATCACATAAAAAGTAAAAGAAATACAACCATCACAATGGTCTTTTTGTCCATTTTACACCTACCCCCTACAAAAAGAAGAGAAAAACAAATTGGAGTGTCCCAAAATTTGTTTACGTTTTCGTAGTTTAGTTTGTAAGGATTACAAAGAAGAAGTTATGGTCACAAGTGAGTTCAGCTTTGATGTCAGAATAAGTGCATCTCCAAAATAAAGGAGTATAACAATCCACAGCTAGCAGAATTAGCAGCTTTGGTTTCATTAGTGGATCTTTCAGCTGCAGGAGTAAATTTGAACTCATTGCAAAAGAAATGCAAAGAGAGCTTTTTTATTAAAATGCCCATCCTAATCTGACATAAGATTTACAATCTGGGATAATCTTTTATGATTTACTGATGATTTACCTTGTCCCATGTGTGAGATGGCCTCCAGCTGCCTGTGGGTAGTAGCTCCTGCAATAGCCTCTGGTAGCTGAAGAGGAAACGGTAACACATCCCTGAAAACGTTTTAAAAAGAACACAAACCCATTAGTGTTTGTTTAACCAAACTGTAAAAAATGTAATGTTGGATTTACTTAACCATGTTATGTTACCTGGTTCCACTTAACTGAGTTGAGTAAATTCAAAGCAACATWCCAGTTTTGTGACCAAAGAACATGAGTATGTTGCTTTGAATTTACTCAACTCAGTTAAGTGGAACCAGGTCACATAACATGGTTAAGTAAATCCAACATTTCATTTTTAGAGTGGTTTTGACTGAATTAAATAATTTAAACACCACAATACATGGACATAAAATATATGTATAAGTAAACATTTAAAGTCCATAGATGCAAAGATTTTAGCTAAGGTTTTGTGCTTTTATGGTTTCACACCTGACATAAATGTAGATCTCATGCAGTGTGTGAGTGTGTGAACGGGTGAATGTCTGAAGTGTAAAGCTCTTTGGAGTCTGACGGGATTTGATAAAACGCTATATAAGTTCAGTCCGTTTAGATCCTGGGTCTAAAAAGGTAATATTAAACTCAGGGTAAAACAKTTTTTCCTATACATTTTTAAGTGTTGTTCTGTGGAGTTGCTGTCAGTCATCATTATCTTACCTGCAGTAGAAATCACTCAGTGCATTATTAGTTTAAGATACGAGGTAGAAATATTTATTAAGGCGAGATGAGCTCATAAAATAACATTGGTTGTCCTGCAATGATTTTTTAAACCACATTACTTCTGTTGTTCTGCTTTGCAAGACAAATGTCCCATCAGCTGCAAATGTCTAAATGCTGACTCAGCATTACTTAGCACTAATTTAGCTAGCATTTTACTACTTTGAGCTTGTTGCATTAAAACCTTTTGCCAGGGGTTTCACTACTTTGGATTAACATTTTACTTTCTTGACTTTTGGCTAGTATTTATTACACTTTTAGCTAGTGGTTTGCCTTTCTTACATTAGCTAGAATGTAGCTATGTTGAACTAGCCTATTGCTAGTTTAAGATAATGCTTTGCAACTTCTGGCTAGTTTTTTATATACGTTTGGCTAATCTAATTTTTTGGCTTGTTTTTTTCTATTATTAGCTGCTCTTTTTCTTTTTTAGTTTTTGGACAGCATTTTGCTATGTTTAGCTAGCGTTTTGATACTTTTAGCTTAGCATTTTCCTACTTTTAGTTGGAATTTTGCTACTTTTAACTTCTAAATAGCCTTTCGTACTTTTAGCATTTAGCTTGTGTTTTGTTGTTTCTCAGACTAGCTTTAACTTGTGTCCTCCTAAGAGAAACTTCTTCCTTATATTCTAAATAATGCTCTTAGGCAGGTAAGATACTAATTAATAACAAAATCTCAGTGGAACCACTGCAAACTCTCCAAACACATTATTGTTTTAAACATTATTGTTTTACATAACAAACCTGATTTTGAGCTAATCCGTAAAAACTCTGTGTATTCAGTGAGTTAACGCATTTAAACACAAAGTACTTTTCCTTAAGGCCACCATTCTTTACACCCAAATTTGGATCTCTCAGCATAAAAATACCAAACCAAATACATAATGAACAGTATTGTCCACATACTTTTATCCCACCTGTGTGTGTTTTATTATAGCACATTACCTGCTGATGCAGTAGAAGGCCACCAAACGACACAAGTCAGGAAAGCTGAGAGCTGAGCTCTCCAGGGCGAAGGCTGGTGAGAAAACAAATAGAGATTGACTGACAGGTWTGGGCGCCGTGAGAGTCCTCAACTGTCAAACCTAATATAGAGGATCCATCCTGCACTAACAGAATAAGAATAAGTTTCCATGTAAACACAAAGATACAAGCAATTAAGTTAATAAAATCTGATAACTGAACTATTTGAAGTAATACAGTATAATGTTGCATACTCATGATAACCAACTTATTTTTCTCCAAATACACAACTCAGTTTGAATTTATTTACTGAATAGCCTCATTAAAATTTACCAAAGACAGATCTCAAACCACTGATGTGATCACGGGTTTAATGGTTTAATGGCACGTGGACAACACGTTAATGTAGAAGCTTGTTTTAAACTTACTGGAGTCTTCCTCACTGATGAAGCACTCTTTCACAGAGGAAGCACTTCGATCCGCTGCCACCCTCAAACACAGCACCTTCCTCTGGCTGGAACTGCATTTGCGCACTAAAAAAGTCTGAGCGAACAAACAAGAATAAAATTGTGTTAAATGAGTGTTCTTTTCATGTTTAATATATATATGCATATGATAAATAAAAGAATAAATAACACTGCAGTTTGATTATTCCATTCACTTTTTATAATCTAATTTTAATCCTGAAAAAGCTGGGGTGTTGTGTGAAATTTAAATTAAAAACAAAATATAATGATTTTAATTCTAATAAACCCACATTTTACTCACAGTAGAACATACTAAACATATAAATATTGAAACACTACATGTTAATATAAAAATATTTTTCATTGCAGTTCTGCTTTAATAAATGCTAAAGTCAATTTATACTCAAAAACACGCATTTATGCTACTAGTATTTAAGGTACAGGAATGCACTTAAAAAGTACTTTTTGCTTTTGTACCTAACCCTTTTATGCTGATCTCCAGTGGTGGGCACAGTTTGGTTGCAGAAGTAATTTTTCATTAGTGCTTTAGCTCAAAATGTCCTGATGCATCTTAGTAAGCCAGGTAGAAAAATAACAAAAAAATAATTTATTAGCACTTTGGAGTTTTTGCTAACTTTGAAAACCTAAATACGCAATTTTATCTGGCTGTTTTGGTAAAACTTTCAGCTCAATAAAGCTTACTAAAAATTTAAAAGAATCAAAGAGACACGATTGGTCGACACAACAGTAGTTAGCTGAAGGGAAGCTAACTGCTAATTGCGTGTCATGTGACGATACATGATTGGTCAACGCAGTGGTGGGAAGATGAATATAGAACTGTGTAACAGCAGTTTTCTATTGTGTTCCCTTCACTTAGGAAGTGTTCATGTTTTTATTGGTATGGAAAGTGAAAACAGTTCGGCCTGTCAAATAAGCTCATCTACCTTTAAATTAAACCTGTAGCATCAGTCCCACCTGTCTTAACACACACTGAGAGATAGTTGTCTTAGTGTTTAGCATGAGTTTCTGATAATTTTCTATCCGTTCAGTGGTTTAGCATTAGCGGAACTAAGATTCTTGTCATTGAAGCTAACTTTCTGGACAGCTGTGCCCACCTCCCTAATGATTAGAATTAGATTCACGATTAGATTCATTGGGAGACTTAAAAATCAGTCAAAGCCAGTGGTGGGCACCGGCCCGCTAAAGCACATATCCGCTAATTACTGACCTAAAAATTACGTTTGCGCTTTAGCGGTCTTACTAAATTTTATAATTCGTAAGCGGACTTGCGCTTTCTAAAATTGAAATGCAGTACAGCTAATAACTAATTATCTACCAGTCATCATTATCTTGAACAGTGGAAGGTATGGCTGTCAATGAATCACAACACATATCTATCCAACAACACCCCTCCCAGATAAACACACTTATTGGAAAGGTATACATCCTTGTTGACTGTTGCTTTCGGTCACGGTTCTCATTTCCCACAATGCTTTGTGTCTGCTTATGTAGCAGGAAAGCAATGTTTGGAACTCCCTATCTCAGCAAAAACAGTTAACGTTTGTAATCAATACTAAAATTTGCATGAATTGATTTATTTTACTTTACAATCGGAGCTCCTTTTTAAAAAAATAAAATAATGTTTAAACTCTGAAGCTCAATACTTGACGTAATTGGTGACGCAATCGGCCAACGGGATTAGAGACTCAGAAATGATTTAAAGATGTTATGCTGATGAAGACAGACATCTAGTGGTCAACTGGAGCAACTACATGGAAAACTTTAAAATCCAAGCTCTTATTTTGAAGTGAAGATAGTTTCCTGTAAGCTGTGCTTTCGTTTCCCGTCATAAATCAAATCCTCATGTACCCAGAATGCATCTCTTCAGTTTTCCAATAAACAGTTTTTAAATTACTTTGATGCTTCTTTAATGAAAAATCTACAACAAACAAAAGAAAAAGACAAAGAAGCAGCCGAACTAGCAATCCTCAACAACTTTTTAATTTTTACACCAGGAGCTAAAGGTCTGTTTCAGGAAATCACATCCCCAGCAATCGGCAGTTGTAGGATTAAGCTGTAATAGAGTTCATACACCACTAGTTGGCAGTATTGTGCATATATTGTACATGAATTATTGCCACCCAGTGAGTGTCAAATTGAACTTGTGCTTTAAAATTAGCTTGTCTTAATATTTCTATGGCATTAGTGCTTATGAAGTTGCAGACCTAAATATTTTCATAAGCGCTTTAGAAATTGCGGAGCTAATTTTTGGATTAGCATTAGCATTGCCCACCACTGATCAAAGCAGGCTGAAGCATGTCGAAGCTTGACACAATTCAGAAGTGGCTAACAAATCTGCAGGTAGCTCATCTCAGAGTTACAGTATAACTTTATCCTGGAAGCTGCTCCTGAGGATGTTAAGTTTCAGCTGAGAAATATAATGTGGCTGGCAGGTTCTTACTCCCACAGGCTCTCTGAGCAGGATGTAGAGGGCGGAGTCTTGGTTGAGTGACAGCTGCAGCCATACGGGATGTGTGAGCAGCAGACGATCCAGGACACTGAAGACCCGCTGAGAACTGCTCTGGGTGCTGCCCACCTCCTGCATCTGTAAGACAGACAGGCAAACTAAAACATTAGATAGAACTCTACAACTATTTATGACATTTTTTATACTAATAGGAGCTGCTTTTTAACCTTCAAATACAATAGGCCATTTGGTAGTTTTCTGCATGCACAGCATTGTGGGTAGGAGTCAGATGTGAATCAGTAAAATCAAACCCACACTGAGACAAAAACGACTGCACTCTGGAAGAGGTGAAATGCTGGTGCATCAAAACACAGTAGAGAAAGGGGTCTATAACAGAGAGTACAATTTTCAGTTTTAATTTGTAAAAATATAATTTTGTAACTTGTGACAACTTTATATTCAACATGATTTTAACATGATTTTGATTCACGTCATTTAACATCTTTCAGTTCATTTAGAATTTTATCCTTCTTATCTGATCTATACACACAAAGAGGAACCAAATATTTAAAAATTTAGATTTTTTAGGTCCTACTTGTACCCACTACCTATGATCCAGCAGTTAGTTGGGACTTCTGCTTATACACAGTATATACTTTCAACTGTGGCAACAAAAATGGTACCAAAACAAGCTCAAAAAGCAGATTTAGTTTTTGAAAAACATCATCTGTGATCTTAAAAGAACATTTAAAATGAATCAGTTTGAAGCACGTGTCAACCTCAAGGCCTGCAGGCTAAAGGTGGCCCTCCATTGCATTTTCTGTGGCTTGTGAGAGCTTCAAAGATGTATAAATGTCATGAAATAAGTGTATGCTGCTTTAAAGCCAGCATTGACCCATAAACTACATCTCCCACAATGCATGTAGAATATTTTACATGTGAAATGACGGCACAGGGTTTAAGAGTAGCCGGTGAAATTTGATGTGTAAAGTTTCCATTTTGCTGTATTTTCTCTGGCTACTTTTGATGTGGTAGTCATACTGGGAAGTGGGGATTTCCCAGTAAGAAGTCATAAATTTATATAAGAATGCCAGTGGGAATTTCCTGTTGGAAAGTGGAAGAGTTCAGAATTGAAGATGACAGCTACTCACAACTCAACAGTGAGTAAAACTCATATTTTTACTTTTATTAGTATTTCTGTACAGTATTATTTACTTCACATTTAGTCAGTCGTACAACATATTCGATCAAATTTGTTCCGTTCCAAAAGCATTTCCAAGGCAAACTCTGTGTTTATAATCTAACATGATCGGTGTCCCTGGCTCCTTCAGGAATTTGTAACTACAGGATCTAGTTTGGTTAGCTGCTAGCTTAGCCTGGAGGAAGACTTTTGCCTCCTTCTAATTCTCCTGATGTCACGGCCGGTAAGTTACAAACTATAGATAAACATTAGTCAGGACATTACTTTTAAGTTGTCCGGACTATCCCTTTAATGTTAAAGGGTAGTTGGCCTGAGCAGCTTTAGGTCTGTGTAAAGTAAAAGTGGACATGTAAAACAGTAAATAAAATATATTTTGTGTCAAACATAAATCATAATCACTTGTATGTACGGACACTTTTAAAGTGCCTGGGACATACCTATCTGTCGAATACAAAAAAGTAAAAGAAAAAAATTAAAGAAACCTTGCATAATACATGTGATTTTACGCTTTTTGTCGCATAACTGGCATATTGTCTCTTAAACTTGGCTCAGCCAAAGTGAAACAGGAAGTGACATCAAAGGGGAACTCTAAGTAAGAAAACTCTGTGGTCTTTGTTAACTGAAATGATTTTATTTGAACTCTGTCTCTTCATCTCTCTGATAATGACTCAAAATAATCTAAAGAAACATCAAAATCTTCTCTTCAGTCTGTGTTATTAGCCATTTTATCAATGCTCTGTTCACAAGCAGATAATCCCTTGTGACATCACTTCCTGTTACTTCACATTCAAATATCTCAACAACTGTTCATCACAGCAGCAGGAAATTACTTTTGAAAAATATTATTAACGTTGTCTTTCCAATAATGCATTTATACTTATTTTAAAAATTTCATGTCACAGGCCTTTTAATTTAACATTAGAATGACAGGTTCCCAACCGAGCCACTAACTTTTTACCTTCTGTCTAAAAGTGTCTTTCAGTAACTCATCTCTGGCTGAAACTTGCCTCAGAACTGCAAAAATATTTAATGCAGCTTCACAACCTTCTGTTCAATCTGCAGTCTGCCAAAGTGTTGTTCTGTGTGCCGAGTGCTGCACACCTCTCCTACCGTGTCTGTCTTCACCACAACAACAAATGCCATGAAGGATTTACAGGAGCGTGCAACTCTCCGGACAAATGAAGTGTGTGTGTGTTAGTGTGTGTGTTTTTGTGCAACTAAAACAACGATAAATCGGCTTTGAACCGTTTGCCGTTTTTTTATTTTTTAGTTTAGTTTTTTTTTTTTTGCGTATTTTTGGCTCTTTAACGTTCACATTCGGTCACAGCTTCACTTTCTCTCCGTCTAAGATTGGCTTGCTGCTGGATGTCACGATGTGTGGGCTGCCAACAAACTCTTGCGAGCGTAGCAGCAGATGGTTGCCATGGCGACTTGGGCCTACACATCCTAGCAGGCATTCCCACTCAGTGAAACACCCGTCCTCCGACAAGTTGGGAGATGGATGAGCTCGCACACACACACACACACACACACACACACACACACACACACACACAC